GAAACTTTTTTAGAGAGAGTGGTGCTGTTTATACATTTTTATATTGCTTAAAGTAATTTGATGATGGTAGAAACAAAATTTTTAAGGCTTTTCAGTGGAACTAAAATAAAATTTGACTTTGTTACCAGAATGTTTCAGTCATACATTGGACAGATCAGGGACAGATCATATTTTTTCAGCAGTTGCATTTATTTTTTTTAAATTAATGTTATCTTTGTTGGAAATATATTTATTTAATTATGTTGCAGTATTGATTTATTGATATTACTAACACAGCTATAACTGATCTTTATGCTATTTTTGATAAAAAATCTTTTTTAGCTTTGATGAATGATTAAAGTGCTTATGAATTAAATTTAGGAAAATTCTTCCGATTTTCATTTAAACTTTTAAATTACATAATGACGATTACATTGTGCATGAAAATCCACATTGTGTTACTGGTGAAGGACAATATGTATATTTATATATATGTAATTAATACCTCTGTTTTATTACATTGAAAACGGTTTTATTAACACTAAGCAGTATATGTGTATATATATATATATATATATATATATATATATATATATATATATATATATATACATGTATATATATATGTATATATGAAGAAATATAGTCTTAAGGTGTGCTGTATTTATGGGATAAAGTGCTCAATATCAGAGGTAAAGTTTTTCTAATGTTCTTACAGTTTTTCTTTCATGAACACTCAGAGTGTGGAAAAATTGTTCATAATGATAATGGTTTCAAATGCTTTTAACCAATTCTTTAGCCATTTTCAAGGGCTTTATTGTTCGTATATTTTCCTGCGTTTAATGTTCTAAGTTGTATTGTATAGTAGTAGTTGTAATTCTAAGCTGGATGGAAATAATAATAATTACATGTTGGGACTTTAAAAACCCTAACATCTTATTTCAAGGCAACTAATCCTGAGTGTTGGCTTAAACTGTTTAATAAAAATGCCTCCATTATCTTTAAATGTCTTTTACAATTAGATATTTTAGAATGATAGTGTCACCTATGAGGATTTTTCTTATGAGAAAAATATAAATATTAAATATAATAGAAGCACATTTTTGTCTTTCCTATTCAATGAAAAATATATATATAAAAAAAGATGGCTGCACAAATATATAACATATCTGTGTGTGTGTGTGTGGCTGAGTGGTTAAAATGTTTGCTTTCTGACCATGAGATCTGGGTTTGTATCTCACCATGTTATCAGTCTGGAGGGGGTGATCCCAGCATGAAGCACTTTTGGAAAGTGCCTGAAAACCATGTCATGAGTTGATCCAAGCCTTGTAAGTGAAATTGGGAAAATGGTATCCTTGGGGGCCATCAATAGCTGTGCAAGCACAAAGTCACAAGTCATCGTGACCGAGGGTTTGAGTGTGCTGGCCTTGATCAGATTGTTGATCACACTAGATGGCATGCTCTTTCCCAGAAACTGTAACCGAGGTCTGCTCAGCATAGTTGCAGTATAAACTACAGGTGGACTCTGTGGGTGTCGAAGAAACACAAATGTGCCTGAGAAAGCAACTGCAATAGGGATTGGCTAGCCACCCTAATAGACAAGTAGATGGGTATCCTCAAATACAAATAGCCAGCTATATATATATATATATATATATATATATATATATAGGCAAATATGGATAAATATGCCTGCAATAAGACGTAGTTTCAAAAAGATAGATTTTTTTCCCATGACACCACTTTTTTAACTACCTTCCTTCTTTAACAATGTTTATTGTTTTAAAAAGCAATGATTAAACTTGGAATAAAACTTAGACATTTGATGAAAGTGAATTTATACATTTTTTTCTTCTTCTTGAGAATTTGCAACAAAAATATTAAACACTAATTATTTATTTATTAGTCTGTTCATTTACAAAAATAATTTGATATTGACAACATTCTAAAAACTAATACAATTAGAATTAATGCAATGCAATATTTATTATTTACCAATTTATAAAGAAATAAATGTGAAAAGAAATTTTATTCATAAATTTATAAATATTAACTAAATTATTAAAATATGCAAATCAACTATAAGGAAACCATCATTATTTACCATTTGATAATATTCAAGTCAATTTGCAATGAGGTGATGTTTTGCTAATCATTCCAATAAATAATATAATAAATAAATAATGTAAATAAACAATATAATAAATAAATAGTATTTAATATTTTTCTTTTGTAAATTTTCAAGAACAAAGAAAATGTATAAATTCACTTTTATATATTTATGTATTTTAAAATTCTAATCATCACTTTTTAAAGCAATTAACATTACTGTAAAGTGAAGGTAGGTAAAAAAAGCATTGTCATGGAAAAAACGTCTTTTTGACATGCTGTCTTATTACAGGTTTGTTTATCTGTCTACCTATATGTATATATTGTGCATTTAGGCAGCAAATGTTCTTTAAGGCAAATCCTATTGAAAAAAACAGACGTTTTTTGGTTGATTAATTTTCATCATCATCTTTTCCAAATTAGGAATAACCATTCTTTGACTTTGATTTGATAATCCTTGTTTACGAATGATTACTCATAATTTGAAAAAAGATGAACATTAAAATTTAACAACATAAAGTATCTGTTCTTTGCTATCTATCTATCTATCTATCTATATATATATATATATATATATATATATATATATATATATATATAGATAGATAATATTTACATCTTTAATGTACTAGACATCCGACAACATTCATATTTCTCTCACATAAACCATATTTGACTCCCCTCTTTAAAACTCCTCTCTGTTAAATTTTAATCCCCCACCTTCTATCGTCTGTTACCCCTCTCTATAGCTCTAACATTCGTTCCACACAATCTCATACTTATAATCTCTCTAAATTTTATTTTTTATTTCCGGAGTTGTTTTTTCGTTTTTCTTTTGAATTTGTAGGTCTGATGAATTGATTGTATTTACAATTCCAATGGAATAAATTATGACCATGGAGTATTAGTGTTTAAACCTTTTTTTTATTATATATATATATATATATATATATATATATATATATATATATGTATGTAAACATTACATTACATTGCCATCTTTCTTTGCATCTATTCTTAAAGAATCTAACATATATCTATCTAATACAAAGAATACATGCTTAAAATATTAGCCACAGACTAGAATGAAGTGCCACCCTGATGCACTGGCTGGCTGCACATATATGAAGACATTAGAACTCCCACCATACAGACACATATACACAATCACGAATACACATTACCATTTGATGCCCACTTAGACAGACAAGAATCTTCACAAACTTGTATACATATAGAATTATTTATGGTTTTAATGCTTGTGATATGTGACTGACCAATGAGAACTGACCCAAACAAAATTGAAAATACCAGAGTTTCTGTCTTTTTTGTCTGTTTTCTCTCAACTTCTGATGAAGCTTTAATAAGAAAGGAAACATTTTAGATTGATATATGTTTTCTATATCTTCTTCATTTTATCATCCTGTCAGATTCCAATCCATATTTGATTTGTATTTGATCTTTAACTTATATATATATATATATATATATATATATATATATATATATATATATATATATATATATACCTATTCTCATTAAATAACACTGAAAGCATTATTGCTCGTCTCTGTTAAATCACCAAAGGTGAACAGTATTGAATCTGTGCAGTAATTATATATGGGGGATTGTGTGGGAAGACCTGATAATGTAAACAATGGAAGAGGTTATATCATAATGATATGATTCAGGTATTAACAACCCTGTCAGATTTTACCATCAGTCTATTGGAATTATATACAGCACAGACAGCCTCTTATCTTTATTGGTTCTTGCTATATGATCAAAGTTGTTTTTCTGTTTCAAGCTAGGCATAACTATAAACAATCATGTCGATGTCATCTGGAGGTTTTTGGATGTTGGAAGAGAACCACGTCATTGGTTAAGTAATCCCTGTTGCAGATGCTTGCTCAAGCACATTTGTGTTTCTTCCTTACCCACATAATCTGGCATGATAGTGTTAGTAATTTAGGAATCAAGTTAGATAGCAAACATAGACATCGCTTGTTTATTGTGAATGCAGATATTCAACTTCATATTCCTGACAGGAGGATAAACTCAAAAAGGAAATAGACATATGTTGTAGTGTGTTAACACACATGGTGACTTATTTTACTTATTAGGGACAACACAACATTGCACCCTCATAACAATAATAAAAACATAGAAACTAGGGGTAGATAACTCTGACCTCTTTATCTAATTGTAAGTAAGTGTTCATCTGACTAGAGTGGAATTTCCAACAGATAGTATGCTCAAACCCTCGGTGATTTGTGACTTTATGCTAACACAGCAATTGATAGCTTCCAAAAAAATGTGTTCACCTAATTTCACTCATAAGACTTACGTCAAATTATTGTATGATTTTCAAGCACTTTCAGATACTGCTACATGATGGTATTGTTTCATTGCATCTCAATTTTAAAACTTGCTAACAATTGCTGTAATTTTCAATGGTATGTGTATACTAGTATCTTAATAATGTCTGGTCAAAATAGTTTTAAATAATGTATATTAAAATGAATTAGTTTAGTAGAAAAATTAGTTTTATTCTAAAATGTTGAATATCCAGTCATTTTTGAATTGCATCATAAAACTTTCTTGCTTTAATCATAAATTTCCTTGTTAACCCTTTTAAAAGCAGAAATAGTATCTTAAAGATTAAGTTTCAGTAAATGGATAGCCATACTATGAATGTGGACAGCCATTGTTTTGTCTACTGACCTTGTGTATTTGCCTCTTATGACCATTCAGAACACCATTAGTGATTGGCATTAGTCAGTCATGTGCAATGAAATTCAAGAATAGCTAAGAATGCTTGGGCTGTTCTGGTGTCAAATTTTGACATTGTCTGTAGGCATCTTCAGTCTGAACCTGTTGGGTAGACATTTACCAATAAAAAATCAGTGAAATTAAAAGAAATGGACAGAATCACAGAATGAGAAATAGAAATAAACAGAAATAAAAAGAGAAAAAAATGAGAGGCAATCAGAGAGAGAAATAAGACATACAAAGGGAGAGAGAGAGAAAAGGATGATCAAAGAAAAAGAGATAATAAGAAAAAGCTTACAGGAGAGAAGTACTATGAGAAAAGAAAAATATAGACAGAGAAAAAGAGGAAAGGACAATGAGAGTATTGAGAAAAAAAAGAGGAAAGAGTAAGATAGAAAAGTAGAAAGATAATAGAGAATAGAGTGTGTGAGAGAGAGAGATTAAAAAGGAAAAAAGAAGTCAACTTAGTGTAAAGGGAGAGAAAAGTAAGAGTAAAAGAGAAAGAATTAGAGAAATTGGATAAATAAAAAGAGAAATAAAAACAAATAAAAGAAAAGTAGGCTTTGAAAAAGATTGAGAGAATTGCATAGAGATTCGACAGTGAAGACAATAGGAAGAACTATCAGTGGGATAATTTAATTTGATGTGGGGAATGCATGCACAGGGGAAATAATTTTATCTCTAAGTTGTGGAGAGCTCTTCTGTTATGGAGTTGCAATTTTACTATCCAATCCAACTTGCCTAATTTTGAACAATCTTTCTCTTTTTTTTTTTTTTTGCTTAGAGAAACTTGATTTTATTGGGGTCTCTATAGAGAAATGTCAGAAAGGTCATTATGATGACACTGTTATGTGCATGCCCACACACACACACACACACACACACACACAATCAAATATACTCATTTTTTTTAATTGATTCACCCCATCAAGGTGATAATGCCACTAAGATGCAAGGGGCTACTGGGAGTGTAAAAGAATGAAAATGACTTAAGAAGGAACCAGAAACCCAATCCTAAACAGGAAACATAGGAGAAACTGCTATTCCTGTTTAAAAGGCCATAAAAGAATTTGAACCAGATGATAAGTGAATCTATCTATTGCTATTGAGTGGGTGGTGGAATAGTAAATAAAATTTCAGAGTTTAGGTTTCGATGCTAGGAGTATAAAGTTGAAGTAGACTTTAAAAGGAACCCAAAGCTCAATCCTAACAAAACACAGTCCCCAGTGTCCCCAGTCAGACTTGATCAGGTAATATTCACTGGACCGGTTTATGCTCCCTGGTGCATATTGCATTGTTGAGCATTACTTTAAAATTCCTATATAAATTTATTTTACAAATTAAATATTCATTTTTGAAATGAAAACCAAAGAATATTCCAGAAACCTGAAAAAGAAATTGATTCAATCAATCCAGGGAAATATCTTACCAAATTTCCCCTTAGCTTTTACACTCCATTCTACTAACTTATCAACAATTTATAAATGGGAAGAAATTTTTATCTCTTCAACACTTGCAAGATCAAGTTGTCCATAAAAGATTTCAATGCAAACAAGGATTAAAATGACAAGGATCAATGTAAAAACTGAGTATAAAGGATATCAAGGCGGATTAAAAGATATCACTGGAACAGATATACATAATCTCATCAATTTGTAAACATGAAAGATTTCACAGATGGGTTACAAAAAAAAACAAAAAAAAACAATGATTCTACCAAAGGAAACAAATAAAAGGCTCATTTAATCTTAACTAAAATGATTTTGTATCAGTGAAATGATAACTGGAAATACAGTTAATCCTTAAGACTAAAGAAATATTGAACTTTGAGGACATGACCTGCAATGATATATTTGGAGAAAAAAAGAATAGAGTGCACAATATGCTCTCCCCAGTGAAGCAGGGTGGTGGAAACCTGGGGTTAATTTACCCCAGGACATAACAATAAACTCTCCAGGATTGAGGGTAAAATAAATTCACTAAAATGTCAGTCAATTTTTTTGTTTTCACATTCTGCTATCCACTTAAAATTTGGTAAGTAATTCATTTTGTAACAAAAGTGAATGAATGTAAACATATTCTGAAAAGCACCTCAGAATGGTATCTTAATTCCAATTGTAAAAAAAGTATATATATATATATATATATATATATATATATATATATATATACGTGTGTATATGTATATGTATAGCCGTATACAAAATATTTGATTCTTAAATTATTTTATTCTAAATTTGATTAGACAACATTGATCTGCTCAGTTAGAATAATTTAAACAGTTTTGTATAAAAACTAATAATAAATAAGACAGAATCAATATCATTTATTATTTTACTTTCATAATTAGCAAATTTGGAAATTTCAATGATACTTGGTGACCTTCCCTCCCCATTTGGTGATAAATTAGATTTGATTGCAAATGAAATCATAACAACAGGTAAAACTGAATGATTCTCATAACCCTTGCATGTTATAACATTCATCATTCATGGAGAGAGGCTCTATTATTTTATTATTTTATAAATTAAACATTCATTCCATTTTGAAATCATTATGAAAAACCAAAAATGATTTGAAAAAGAAATTGTGGCTTATCAATCCAGGAATGGCTACAAGAAAATTTCCAATTGGCTTGACACACTCCATTCCAGTCCCTTATATATTGTTTGTAAATGGAAAGAAATTTGGTACTGTATAAAATGCTTGTAAGATCTTTTATGATCCAAGGAACATTTCAGCATGAGGCATGACTAAAATTACAAGGGAAGTTTCAGTCAACCTGAAATTGAACGTAAAAGATATCCAGAGAGATTTCAAGAATACTAGAACATGTCTCACCAATTTTGAAGAAGATTGAACAGATGAGAATCATTACCGATCAGTAGAACATGAATGAACACACACACACGAACACGAACACACACACACACACACACACACACACACACACACACACACGAACACGACTGATGAAATCAGATAAAAAGCTCATTTAGTATTAACTAAAATGATTTTGTATCAGTGGAATAATGACTGGGAATGTAGTTAATTGTTTAGACTAAAGAAATATTGAACTTTTAGGACATGACCTGCAATGATATATTTGGAGAAAAAAAGAATGCACAATATGCTCTCGCCAGTGAAGCAGGGTGGTGGAAACCTGGGGTTAATTTACCCCAGCACATAACAATAAACTCTCCTGGTTTGAAGGGAAAATAAATTCACTAAAATGTCAGTCAATTCTTTCAAAAACTTTGACTCTCAAGTTTAAACCTGGCAGGCAATTCATCTTCCAATGAAACAAAAATCTATTTTGAAAACCACCTTAAAATGGTTTAAGAAGAATAAGATTAGATCAATGGAATATCCTCTTGAATTGCGTGATCCAAATCCATTCAAATATCTGTGGTATGAAATGAAAATTGCTGTATCTAACCGGAAGCCATTTCAGATTTAGAATGATTCTGTAGAATTGTAAAAAATATACAAATTGGGGGATGTAGAAGCCTAATTGGATCTTACAGAAAAATTACATTATCAATGACTGGTGATAAAAGAAACTCAATTAATTAATAGTTCAATGGCAAGATTGAACGCTTAAACAAAAATCATTATAATAATGTATTGATAATTATGATAATTAAATAATAATAATTATCCATTATTTATTATTAATTAATTCATTAAACTTATACAAATTGTATATATTAGAGTTTTTCAAACTGTAGGTCTCAATACTTCAGTGGGTCAGAAGATAAATAAAATGGCAAAAAAAAAAGAAAGAAAAAATATGCAAGTGAGAGTAAAGTGTAGAATATAAACAACTCTAAATGTCACACAGCATTCATAAAACATCTGTAATTTTTAACCGAGGTAAGCTTGCATTATATCTTATTATATATATATATATATATATATATATGTGTGTGTGTGTGTGTGTATATATATATATATATATATATATATATATATATATATATATATATATATATATATAATTAATTATTTATAAAAAATTATAACATAAGTATGTTATAAAATCACTACAAAATAGCCATTTTGTTTCAACACGCTCGGTGTCTTATCAAGTGATGATGTTGAAGATAAAATAAATGGTTTTAAAAGCTTGACAACGAAATCATATATGACAGAATTTCCTTTAAATTTGTTTTTCTAAAAGTCAAATTTTTATATTCATGCAAGTAGATAATACAAATAGATATAAACAATTCCAATATGTATGTGGATCATAAGAAATATACATACATATTGTCGATGGGAAATAAAGGAACCTAGTGAATAGACTTTGTCTCTGATTTAATTACACATAAGTATAATGAGTCACAATGCAAAATATGGGTCCTGATGTGGGTCACAATAAAAAAAATTTGAGAAATTCTTTTGTAGATAAATGTCATATAAATCAAATCCAGAATCATTAATCAAAGTAACAGAATAATAAAAATAATTTAGGTGTCAAATATTTTTGCATCTAACTGTATATATCAATATACGTTTGCCACTTTGAATTCATATACATTAAAGATATTGCAGACTCGTTATTTTCATGTGTCTATGTAGAGGTATGTAGATGTAAGTGTGTGTACATTTGTAAAGTTGTCAATTTTGATTCTTTTTATTTGTACCCTCTTACTTCTTTAAATAATGACCTACATCCAAACTTATGATTGTTATTACAATATTTGGTGAAAGTTTTTGAGTTCAAATATTTAATGATGTGAATTTCCACATGTATTTTGTAGTTGTAGAAAATTTATTTTTATTTTTCTGTTTCACTTCCTTTCAATCACTTGAACATCTTTTAAAGAGCTCTTTAGTTGCAGTTCATTTTAATAATTTAAATTGACTATAACTGTTTTATAATCTGGTTTTATGAAGTTCATCCGGGCTTATGGATGCATCATGTTAAAACACCAATTTCTGTATAATCACCAAAGTTAAGCAACATTGAGCCTAGTCATTACCTGGATGGGTGACCACTTACCAGGTGCTGTAAGCTTGGATGTGTGAGTCATGTCATGGATAATGGCTTAAATTTGCTAATCAGAGAGCCAATTTCTGTTGGATTTGCTATATTTACTTATGTGCAAAGAACTTTGGGAAAGGTATTATAGTTAATTAGTCAAACTTTTATCACTAAATAATTACTATCTTAAAAAAATTCTTAAAGTCTAAAAATATTTTCTGAATCAATCAATCAATGAAATCCTGATTAGATACACAGGCATGACTTTTAAATTAATTTACATTCTCTGGCATATTAATGTACAGAAACTATCATGGTCTTAAAGTAGGGGATCAGTTTATATATTGATTATAATATAGAATCGATCCCCCACATATCTACTTTATAATTTCTGGTTTGTTTATCAATTCTGATTAGGTATGACATGCCCTCTCTTCTTCCCCAACTATGGGTTAATTAGTAAGACTAAACCATTATTATCTCCAAAACAAAAAATTCTTACAGTCTAAATTTTGTGATGTTAACAAACACTTGTTGCCACTTTTGTTTATTACTCTTTATTACTTGCACT